TACAAGAATCAGTTGATACAAGAAGCACTTGATACAATAAATACTTGATACAAGAAATACTTGATACAAGAAGCACGATACAAGAAGCACTAAATACAAGAAACACTTAATACAAGAAGCACTTGATACAAGGAGCACTTGATACAAGGAGCACTTGATACATGAAGCACTTAATACAAGAATCACTTAATACAAGAATCACTTGATAGAAGAATCACTTGATAGAAGAAGCACTTAATACAAGAAGCACTTGATACAAGAAACCCAGCCTGGTTAAAAAAAAAATTCTTTGCAATAAACTTAAAAAAGCAAATTTTATATATGTTTCTTTTAATTCTTCGTTTAGCGTGTCATAACTAAAAGCCGAAATTGAAATGAAATCAGCGACCATAGAATGAAAATCGATAATATACGTTCATGGAGAAACCTTGTTAGAATTTATTTGAAATAGAAACCGATTTCTACAAATGTTTAATTTTAAGCTTAATTTCAAATAAATGTTATTTGCCATTAACCTTCGTAAAACTGAAGAAATAAAGAGTTTTTATTGGAAGAAAAGTTATTTATATGCAAATAAAACAAAACTTTTACTGGGATCTACTAAAGAGAAAAGACCTTTGGTAATGAAATAGAAATTTTAATTGAATCTGTGTTCGAAGTAAAATGTCGTTGATAGTCCAATTCGTATAAATGGTAAATCATATTAATTATCCCCAAGTTATATGGTCATCGCCAAATATTAATGTAAAATTCGAAGGGAAATTAAAATATTTTAGGGACAAGCAAACGCTATTGGCAATAACAGAACCTAAATTATAGGCTAAAATATCAGTATTCATAAAATTCGATGTTTTAAAGTGTTTAATTCCAAATCAAAATTTTCCGTTAGAATTTTATTATATTAATCCATACCCAATACATAGCCCAACAAGTACTCAAGTTTGAGTGTTACTGTGCAGTGTTTTGTGAGCGTACAAAAGGGCATGAAGTGGGGTTATGCAGGACAAGTAATTGTTAACCTTTGACCTGAAGAGATCAAAATTGTTGTGTTTTAGAAAACATCTTGCTATTTGTCTGTTCCGAAAAGCAGCAATTCCGAGAAAGAAGCTCTCCGAATGGAACTTACTTCTTACTAATGGGATATACATGATGTGGGCAAAGCCAAGTGTCAACCCTACCCCAACTCTATGATATGGGACCTTCAAATCCACGATACTACACTCTACTACGCCTCAATTTTCATAAGGTGCTATTCACATGAAATACAAATTTTATTCTAACCTAATTATGTACAATAATACAGCATCTGCAAATATAGGTGAACGATTCAACTAGAACGACTGAAAATAATTACAGTATTTCTAAATAAAAATGAAGGAAATGTCATAAGAGATAATTCCATCTTAGATAAATCAACAATGTTTTCCGGTAATTTTTAAAATCAACTTGAGATTTGATTGTTAAAATGTTGAATAATTTTAACGCATTCAGCAAAATAGTGAATTTTACATCGTTTTTTTCCCTCAAGACTTACCATAAACAAAAGAAATTCACGGATCTGTACTAAAAAAAGAACCCGGAATGACATAAGAACCCGGCAACATTTTTTTTCATCCTTTTAATAATCAGTCATGATAATTTTGATTTGAAACGTACATAAACATAGGTAGAAAAGTAAATGCTGACAATATAGCGAAGCTTACAAAGCACTTCTATGAGCCCCCAGTAAGACTTGCCTCTCTTCCGTGACGGTGTGAGGGGTCGGTGGTAGTACACACCGGCCTTAGGAATGGCGATGATTATCGAACATTTTATCTGTGAAGTTGTAGCGTGGAAAATAATTCATCACGCACAACGCCATGTAAACATTTTTGAATTCTATCAAAATAGGCGAGTGAAAACTGGGTAGCTTCAGCACAGATATAGCAATCTTTTTTTTTGCTCTGATCTGGCTTTTGTAGAGTTTAGAAGGGCGAGTCAGACAGTTACTGGAGCGGTACAAGCAGACGATTAAACATTGTAATAACCTATTGCGAAAGACAGGTAAAGGGTTTTCACGCTGAATACTCCATTGTTCTGAGTTCAGATTTGCCTTCCTCCTAGATTGGGTGTCACCCAAGGTTAAAGAGACTACTATTTAAGCAATAATATATATATATATATATATATATATATATATATATATATATATATATATATATATATCAAGAAATGGACAAAGTTCGAAAATTTATTAAAGACATTTTTATGTTTAACATTCTTTTTTTTATAGATACAAGTATTTAAGTAAATGCTCTGTTCATAATAAACAGTATTAAATAACATTTACCAGCCTGAATGTCCGAGAAATTTTCATAGAAAACATTTGACATCCGTATAGGATGCAGGTTCGAATCCTGTCAAGGACGAATATTTTCTATGAAAAATCGGACATTCAGGCTAAATGATTTAAATGTTTATTATATTTAATATAAATACTTTATCTAATAAAAAAGAATAAACATAAAAAAAATATATATATATATATTATATATATATATATATATATATATATATATATATATATATATATATATATATATATATATATATATATATATATATATATATATATATATATATATATATATATATATATATTCAGTATCTCTGAACACTACTGGGTATGTGCCAATCCGCATAAATACGTTAAACATTATTGTAATTTGGGGTAAAATACTATCAATTAGTCCACCCCTAGCAGTGGTTTACCTACTTCACGTCGCTGGCGAGTATTGTATTTTGTTGATGTTATAAAGATTAACATTTCATTTCCAGCCTCGGTTTGTTATTCTTCATTCAGTAACCCTTCCTAGGTTACAAAAATATTTATGAAAATTGTATGGATGTGACTTTGTGACCTTGGGTTTCACGATTCTGCGATCATCAAACTCATCAGGCAAACGCATAAGAGGGAAACTCATATCCACACAATTTATTATGTTAGCTCTATCACTGATATTGAGTGCTTTCTACTAAGTAACACGCATGTAATATATATATGTGTGTGTGCGTTGTGTTGTGCGTGTGTGTGCGTGTGTACGTGCGTAAAAAAATCAAATAATGTATATTTGCAAAAGACATTGAATGAAGACAACAGAAAACCTCATGTTAGACGACGCGTTTCGTCCTCTGTGGCATTTCTTGCCTTGATAAAGTCCCACAGATTTCTAAACGCGGCTAAGAGAAGTGTTTCTTTTGTCTATATATATATATATATATATATATATATATATAGAGAGAGAGAGAGAGAGAGAGAGTACAGGAAATAGGTGGATCGTAATAATATCAAATATTAAAACTGATCCACAAAGACAGCTCAATTTATTTATTACAACAGAGCATATAAATTACATAGCAAAAAAATCCAAAATTACCTCATGTGGGTATAAATTTATTTCAACCAACGCTAAGTGCGTTGGTCTTATTCAACCCCGGTGGATGGACGGTATTCACATCGGAATCAGAGATTAAGAATTTACCTTAGACAGCAGTCCATTAATTGATAGCGAGCCTACTGAAATCGACGCCTCAGCCAGACAAAATGCCCGAGTCATGGTAAGGTTCAGGACAGAAGGTATCTGTCTAATGGAGACAGACTGAACAGGTTCAACCTGGATATTGTGATCCTAAGTTGCGTTTATATGATAAGAATGGGGTGTTGAATCGAAATTAAAGGAAGGCCGGAAAAGGAGTCTATATATAAAAATTTTTTTAATCATATATAAAAAGAATGTAGGTTCCCACTAAAAAAATATCAAAATATACTTACAAATGAGGTGTATTAACAAGATTAATTATAAATCGTTTTTAGATAAAATATATAAAGAAAGAATATATTTAAAAATCTTTTATTGTTACCGTCCTGGGTATGACGATAAACTGCATCCGCGTCCTGGGTAAGACGATAAACTACGTTCAACAGCAAGACCTCTGATCACGAGGTTTTGAAGAGCGTGGAACCACTTCTTAATTGATGGTGTTCCCAGGTCCACCCTGACCCGGGGTGGTAGCACCTGTTAGGGTTGCATGTATGGGCAAATAGTTGACCCCACAACGTGACTCAAACACTATGAAAGTGTAAAAATAGATTTTAATACCAGAAATACTTAAAAAAAATATCAATAAATATTTGAAAAAAGAAAATATTACCAGAAATAAAAATCTTGCCAGCATTAAATAACCCATTCAGGTTAATTTGCCACAAAACAAAACAAACCAAACTATACATTTAAAAAAAAAATTATCAGCTATATATTTCTGAAAAAAATTATCAGCTATATATTTCTGAAAAAAATTACCAGCTATATATTTCTGAAAAAAAAAAAGGAAATTTTGTCGTCATTAAATAACCCATAGTGATTGATATGCCGTAAAAGCAATGAAACCAAACCAAACTTATATTATTAAGGAATGTACTCTCTTTCCTAATATTGAGACGTGTTTAATTTTATTTTTTAATTAGTTTGGTATGTTAATGAATGCATATTAAGAGTTAGAATTTGGAGTGTAGCTTGAGATATTCACATTTTTCTCTTTTTAAGTCTTCTCAGTCCTTAACCCCTGATTAAAATGGTATGAAGTAAAATTTGTAAAATACATACAAACGGTGTGTGTACTGCTTAGGAAACAGCGTAGGTCACTGTTAATTTTTTCCTTTCTTCGTGGCTCGCCAAAATCCCATAGGTTACATCACGTTTCATTTAATTTTCCTCACTTTGTGTCAACGGAAGTACGGTGTATAAATACTTCTGCATCATTGATTTATTCGTTAATCACATCAGCTTCCGCTTTCGTTCAGCGTTGCACATGTTCGTTTCAGGGGCAAGAGGTTGAGGCGAAGGACGGGAGCAAGTCGAACTTAATTCACCTTAAGAAGTTTTTATTATTCTTTCATTGCTTGACCTCCATATGGTCTAGCTTGCAAGCTATGTAATCTCGACAAGCAACAGAGTTTTGCTATGTTTCTGAGAAGAGATAACTTCGGCCGGTATTGTGATAATCCGTTTCACGAAGTCCCTCTTTTAGACTGTGGTCTTAAATATGCTCATAGTTTTTTTTTCTTTTTCTTTTTTTTCTTTCATTCCTCCGATGCTCTGTGTTACCAAAACCTAATTAAACGAAGAGTTCCACCTGTTTCGACCGGCACCTTGCAGAACAGAGAAACATCCGTAGTCGGAATGGAAGCCAAGAGCGGGGAGGGGGTGAATTTTCGAATAATGAAATTACCACCGCTAACACATTCTCTCTAATCTTAGCCTCGTCGCTTGCTCTTCAATAAGTCTAAATCAGCCTTTCGACTTCGGGTTATGGAAATCCTATTAACCTTGAACATCTTGCAAAGCAACGAACAGTAATGATTTGCCTCTTATTTCTCCTGTTTCCCTTCTCCCGAGTCGATTGATGGAACGGGGAATCGCTACAAAGGAAAATATTAGGCTCTTCTTACTGGCTTTCTAACTACAAAGGCCTCGCCATTTTGGATGGAAATCATCGGAGAGCTTTTTGGCCTGCAGCAGAGAACAAGTCATACTTTCGTCTTGTGGAATTTATGTTTTCCTCTTAATTTCATTTTCTCAAACTATACGAGTTGAGTTTAACGGAAGGCTGGACCGTCAGCAGAGACCAGTATTCTATTCAGATATTAAGGTTGCCTTTTTTTCTCATTATTTTATAAAATTAGAGACACACACGATTCACTGAGATTTCAGTTGAACTACTTATTTATCCCAGTTTGATATTACAACATGGTTTCTCTAGTTGGAGGCCAATAATTATCTTGATTTTCTTTATCTATCTATCTATCTATCTATCTATCTATCTATCTATTTAAGTATGCACAGCCCTATCTATCTGTTCAAACAAACCACACTATCTATCTATCTATCTATCTATCTATCTATCTATCTATCTGTTCAGACAAATCTATCTATCTATCTATCTATCTATCTATCTATCTATCTATCTATCTATCTAAGTATGCTCAGCCCTATCTATCTGTTCAAACAAACCACACTATCTATCTATCTATCTATCTATATTCAGATCTATCTGTTCAGACAAATCTATCTATCTATCTATCTATCTATCTATCTATCTATCTATCTATCTCATTCTGGCCACATATCTTTCCATATATCTCGATCAGAAAAATTATAAAATACGTAAGCAATTCAAATAAATTAGTTGCCGGTTTTAATGTTATTCTGGTGTCTTTTTTTAAAAATAAGAGCTACAAAGAACAGGAAATCATGGAGAGCCATGCCTGCCAATGTTCTGAATGGTCATGACAGAAGAATATAACGTCTTCCTAAGAGCGTTCGGGGTATGACGATAAACTAAATCCGGCAGCAATCACTTGTCCCTGAAATGAACATGTGCCAAATGGAACAAAAGCGGAAGCTGATGGTATTGTAGAATAAATAAACGATGCGGAATTATTAATTCACACTACTTCCGTTGAGACAGGACCTTATTCCCTACACAACACACGCTTGTGCATACATACACACAGACACCCCCCATTCACACACACACAGTTATATATATATATATATATATATATATATATATATATATATATCTGTTAAGCATTTCACCCAAAGCAAGGCGGAAGTGCCACTAGCACGCAAGGGGTTATAGAGAGTGGGTGCAAGAATAAAGATGCGTGAAAGAGGAAACGATGCAGAGAAGGAAGGGGAATGGATCAAGGCATCTGGAGATGTTGATATTGCATTTGAATAGTTGTAGAGTATAGATATCAGGGGAGCAAGTAAGAGGAAGGGAGTTTCACAGACGGGAAGTGAGAGACATTAAACTATTGGATGTGACGTCCCTGAACACAGCCTTCGCCCGCTCCTCGCTGCTTCGTTCGGGTGTCGCCGCTCCAAACGTGACGTCCGCCTGTCGCGTCAGTCGTGTTGTCGCGTCCTGTGACGACCAACTGGCTTGGTATCGGTCGCGGCACCCAAATGTGACGTTCTAACCTTTTGGTGATTCGGATGGGAATCTGGTTAGATTCGATATCAGCCTCGTCGTTCCCAATTCGCTTCCAACGCCTGGTTACCAAAGTAACTGCGTTGATCTACAATCCGCCTACCCACGTTTGTGAATCGATCATAGGCAGACGAAATCAATCAGTCGTTAGGGCCGCAATGCAAGTTGGGTCCAGTGCGGGGTGGTATCGCACAAATACTTATAAAAAGAAATAAAATGATAACTCAAAAGTTCAAGGTATCAAAGAAAAGAATAACAAACTTTATGTCTAGTTGCTGGATACATAGGACTGCGTCTATCTCCCGACCTGTTCTATGGATTGTGACACGTTGTTTTCCGTTAGGCGAGTTTTAACACTTCAAGTTGTTTGCTCTTTAAGAAATTGGGTTTTTTTTGGTGTGTCTTCGGGCGAAAGTCGAAAAAAAACTTATTTTGGTGATCTGGATCTAAGTCGCTCTTCAAAATAATTGTTCTTGGATTGAAGATGAGTCCGGAAATTGCTCGAATCTTGGTCAGCCGATGCGAGGCTTGCTTCAACTGAGCACTGGAGACTGACCCTGGGAACTGTCTCTCCCGAACTCAACTCTGGAACTCATTTCTTGTCGCTGCGACTTTGCTTATATGGACGCCGACAAAAACCGGGGTGGGTTTGTCGGCGCCGGGGGGGTTCCTCGATAATTCTAAATACCTATCCACTTCTCTTATTTTTGGTTAATAATTTTCCACTTCTTTCCATTTTTTGGGAGTCTTCTCTTACTCCCACCTTCTCACCATGCTTCAGGGGGGGTGTCAACTGTCCTCCCCACTTCCTCGTAGCGGCCTCTCATTCCCATCCTCTAAATGGGCGGTGGCAGCTTTCTCCTTGCGTCACGTGATCACCACTCGGCCAATGATGTCCAGCCGGGCGTGTACGATCCCGCGGGCTTTGTTTCAGGAAAAAAAAATATATATCTTGCTCAAAAATAAGTTATCTTTTTCTTTTCTTTTTCTTTCTTTAATCGTAGTTCTCATTTTCTCTGGCCACCAACAGAACAATACGACCGGTGGTGGTTATAACCCTTGTTCTCATCTGGACTTCGTCAGTCAGATTATCGCTAATTATCAGAATGGGTGGTCTATTTGACACAACAAATCGTCCGTCGCCTCGAAAAAAACATTTCCATGGTTCCAGTCACTCTTTGGTGCACATTACTGATAACATAGTTTGTTATCACAGCTAAAGATGTTCTGTTAAAAGAAAACGGTCAGTCGCCACCTCGTGTGCGGCTGTGACCTGATTAATTTTTCATATCTATCAAAGCCCTGTAGTTCACCTGTTTTTGTCAATTATCAAAATAACATTTTCAATTGGATTTTTCTTTGGCTAGTCGGTCTGTGGTTTGCCAATCAGATGTTTTCCCGCATTAGCGGCTTGTTTATGTATCTCCGATAATACAAGCTCGTCGCCAGAACACATCTGATTCCCTTATCAACTTAGAATTTTTCTGCCATTGTAATGACAGTTTTTGCCATTTACTACTTATCAAAATATCCTTATCCATTGTCTCTGGTCGTGGGTGTTCTACTTATCATCCACGCTTTGGGTCTCGCCTCTCTTTTCCTTTCTTTCCTTCCTCTCTTTCCTTTCTTTTCTTTTTTGCCTTGGTAAATGGTGCCACATTGGAGAAGAAGAGATAGCTACATTTAACCCTTTCGATAGTCAAAGAGTAAGACTGAGATGCCGACATAGTGGCACGTCAAATTCATGTAATATATATATATATATATATATATATATATGTATATAGCAAGAATTAAACACTAATATTCCATGGACATAACTTATTCCATTGGAATCGTAAATACGATCCAATTCATCAGACCTACAAATTCAAAAAGAAAACAGAAAAAACAACTTAGAAAGAGTGTATGTATGAGAGTGTGGGACGAATGTTAAAGCAAATGAAAGCTATAGGGAGGGGTAACAGACAAGAGAAGATCAGGAAGGTTTAAAGATGAAGGGGGGGATTAAAACTTAACAGAGAGAAGTTTTAAAGAGGGGAGTCAAAGACGGTTTAAGTGAGAGAAATAGGATTATTTTCGGATGTCTCATACAAATATATATGTATGTGAACAAATATATATGTATGTGTATGTATGTATGTATATATATTTTAGATATATGATTGAATATGTATGTGTATATTTGCCACTATTATTATCTATCTATCTATCTATCTATCTCTCTCTCTCTCTCTCTATATATATATATATATATATACTAGCAGCATGGCCCGGCGTTGCCCGTGCTTGATTCAAAAACCATACGACTCATACAGCAATCGCTATCACTTGACTTAAAATATTTTTGCCCTTCCTTGTCTTTAAAGGAGTGCCCTTTGCCGTGCTGATGTTGCTACATGCCTTACTTCTTGCCTATCTCACACTGCGAACTTTTTCGAAGCTCTAAACTAAACATTAAATCTGTTACCAAAAAATAACTAAACAAAATGAACACAAAACGATCAGCTTTAAAAAAAGACTCGTAACTGGAAAAACCGAATGAAAAAAGAAGGTTAACAACAAATACTTTTTCACACCCAACCCAGTTCTGCAGAATCAGAATCAACATTGAGTTTAAGCAAGCGAATGAGTCAGTTGGAGCAAAGTGTCATGCAAATTTAAATTTTTCCCACTTGTGATGAATGCAGCTATCGATTTTTTTGCATGCTAGCATGCTAGTTAACATTTGTGTCAGTCAGCTGTTGGCTCTCACGCTGGCCAATAGAATCTTTCTGTCTATTCGTGGCAGCCAGATATAGGCTCTCACTCTGGCCAGTAGAAAATGGCCGCAAACTACATGAAAACTGTCGTAGAAGCATGAAAAAATCGATTATTTCCACTATCGATGGGAGTTGGGAAATGCAAACTTGGAGCATGTGCATGTAAATTTTGGTGCAAATCCATCGAAAATTGCGGCCGTGCATTCGTTACACACACACACACACACACACACACACACACACACACACACACACACATCCTGACTTTTATAGATAGAGATATAGCGAAAAATGTCCATTCTATTCGGTGTATTATGGGGAGTAAATGAACATTGAATGTTTATCAAAAATATGGAAGATTGGTGGCGTACACATTTTTTTGCTTTTGTTTATTTTCACTTTGCCATTAGCTGAGATTCTACAACCGTTTTTTTATTAATTTCACAAAGATTTGTTGGAAGGGTTAGGTAATATTGACATATTTCGGAACGATACTGGAATAATCCAGAACATATAACGGGAGAAAACCGTCTGCATGCGGATAGAAAATGAATTCAGTCAATAGACACACATCGAAACGGACGAAATTCAAATACGTTTATTCTCATCGGACCTATTAAAGCTTATATATTGAAGCGCCTCAGAGAATATTAGACACCCTACCAGGATTCATTATTTGCGGCCATCATCTTATCAGCGTCAAATATGCAGGTGACACAGTGTTGGTAGGAAACACAGAAAGGGGACAAAACGAACTCCTACAGAAGGTAGTTAAGGATAGCGAGATGAAGGGATTAAATTGTAACAGACCAAGATGGATTTTACAAAGTGGAGATACCAAAATCAAACAAATACTGAAGTTTAAATATCTTGGAAATGTTTTAACATTAACCTGAAAGTGCGTCGCCCGAATTCGAAACCGCAGTTGGATAGTGAATGATGCCCCCACCAAAAAAAAACAGTTTCAGAAACAGGTAAATTTCGTTAGAAATAAAAGATTATGGAACTGTACTGATGGACAGAGTCTCGTTTGGTGGGGTACACAAACCCGACCACATGTATACAGGGTCTACGGTATATTTTTATCTTAGCCTACGGACTCTGGAGGCCCCACGTTAAAAACAGGCCTTGTGCCACATCTCGCCCTGTGGAGAGCACTTGGGTAAATACCAAGTTGAATAGAACTTTTGTCGAACTCTCCGCCTGCGGGTAGAGATGAACCCAGAATAAGCTCTGTCTCCGACCAGGGTCTTGTCTGGGGAGGTAGAGAGACACCCGACACTGTCTGTGCGGGTTCAACGGGGAACCTTTGCCCGGGCCTACGCTCTCGGATTGCCCTACGTTAAGAACCGGCTTTGTGCCATATCCCGCCTTTTGAAGCTGACCAGAACTAAGATGAAG